ATGTGCCACCACACCCCAGCCAAACCCCTATGTTTGAAAATTTAATAACTTGTTATTTCCCTTCTTTGTAAGCAATATGGTGGTGAACATCTTTGTACGCATAGCTCTGTGCCTGCTGGGTCCAGCAGAATTATACAGACATGAACCAAAGAGTGTCCTGCCTTCCCCTTCTCTCCATAGAAGGGGAGAGCAGACAATTATAGAAACATCCACAAGAGACATAATGAAATAAATGCCTTATCAGAGGAGGGACAGAGATGGATTTCAGTCCAGGCAGGGAGCAGGCTGCTTGGAGGAGGAGGCATTTATGCCCAGCTCCTCAGGGAGAGAGCTGGGAAGGATTTCATCTCCCGGGTAACCACAGAAAGCAGATCTCAGTGAACTAACTATTCCCCTGTCTCTGAGATCTGTGAAAACAGCCCTTTGCTGAGAGCCAGCAAATTTGGGTCCCAGCTCTCAGGCTCCCTCGGGAAATGGCAGCTCTCATTGAAGAACAGGAACATTATCTCCCCTCCTCAGAAGCCTGGAGGTTTTCCCAGCCACCTTCCAGCTCCACCACAGTGTGGCCCCCTCAGTGCACCAGTGTGTGTAGGGAGGTGGGTCTGGCCACCCCCTGCCTTCCTCCCTCCTGCCCCAGGGAGTAGGGCCGAGGGGCTATTCCCTGGCAGTGCAGGCCCTGTGCAGCCCACCGGCTCCCGTTCCTTCAGGCCCTCAGCATCTCCTGCCAAACCTCAGCTCCTAGGGTCAGAGGAATGTTGAGCAATCTTTGGAATTTTTTCTGCGGGGAAACAAGAACTTTCGGATTCCTCACGGGCACACCGCCTGCAGCCTGGAGCCCCGGAGCAGCTCTGGAGCCTTCCTGCATGCAGCAGGAGCACTGGGGGACTTTTCAGAGTTTGTTTTCTCCTCCTGCTGGCAGGGCTCTAGGACACCATTACAATGAGGTCATGGGGCCCTGCCCTGCTGTGTCCACGGCGACTAAAGAGTCAGAACCTTGCTGTCCTGTCCTACTGGCTCAGTGTGCTTGAGGGGGTTTGGAGAGGGCTAGGGCAGTCCTCAAATGCTAAACCAATATCCAGGCTGCAACTCTCAGAAACTCCCTGCCCCATTGCTGCTAGGTCTTACCCTACCAGGGACCTGGCCGTGGACTCAAGCCCCAGGGTCACATTCTCTGTCCAGCTTTCTGGGAGCTATAGGGTCATGTAGGGAGCAGAGTTTGGGTTTGCTAGAAATAATCATACAGTGTTTTGCAACTAGTTCTCAGCTCAAAGGGCACCTCTTCAGGAAGTCTTGACACCCTCTCCACTAAGTCAAGTTCTGCTTTTGTATATTCTATGCATGCTCATGGCACACTATGCATCTCCTTCTAAGCCCTGCCTCTGTTATTAATAAGTCTCTGCGTGTTTGCTCAATGTCTGTCTCACCCAAGGACAATCTGCCCCTTCCTGTGGATCTCATTCACAGCTGGATCTCCAATATCAGCACATAGTAGATGCCTTATGGATTGCATTATGTCAAGCAAGGCTTCCCAAGAGAGTAGAAGGATTCTGTCTCCAAACACATCTTGCTTGGGCACAGTCTCCTCTGAGATCTTGTACCAGACTAGGTGGTACTTCCAAGCATGGCCCCACTTAGGGTCTCAGTTTCCCTCTGTCTCCAGCTCCCCCAGTCCCTACCTCATCCACAGCCAGGTAGGTGGGAGACCCAAAGTTCACTGTTTAACTGAAAGCAAAGTTCCTTTGTGATCAGACCACAAGCCCCCAGCAAGGGTGACTTAGCACAGCAAGGCTGTGATCTGCAGGTACCAGCTGTATCAACAGCCTCTCCTGCTCCCCAGGATTTGGTTCCTTTGTCATCCTGGCAGGCCCTGACCCCACCTGCACAGTTCCCACTTATCTTAGGTTTATGTAAGGTTTGAAAGTTCCCAAAGCCCATCACACCTGTTATTCTGGTTGTTCCTCCCAGCAGTGCATAACAATTTCCATTTTACAGAAGAGGGTACTACTGTTCCCCCAAAAGTGACCTTCTTAAGATCATGAGGTAGGAAGCAGCAAGGGTAAGATTTCTAGCTCCAAGGGCAGCAGGGAGAAGGGGAAAGACAGGTAGCAAGTGGCAGGTTAACACTCAGGAAGGAGGGATGTGAGCCAGGCACCATGAGTGCTGGGCCAGGCCTCTGATGCAAGACTGTAGCCACCTGAGAAAGTTCTACAAACAAGACAGAACCTGCATGCCCTGAGGAGTGCATCAGAAGCCTGCTCTTCACAAACCAGATAACTTTATGATTCTTGTATTTTCTGTGTTCATTTTCCTTATTTTCTCTCTTTGTAGGAAGTAGTAAAAACCCAGGAAAGCTTTCTCTGGGCACAAGGGAGCCAACAGAATGAGTTTGCATCTGTATTTGCAGCAGAGTATTTAAGGGGCAGGGCCCCAGCTGGGACAATCATACAGGGGAGGGGACCAAGGTAACAGGAGAGTCATTATTCATTGCCTCCCCAACCCTGACCTCAGATGCATAAAGAGGATCAGAACTCAACCTGAGGGTTTCTGTCATTAAAAGAAGTAGGTTGCCTTAACCACCTTCTAGGGTTGTCATGAGATTACATCATCCACACAACTTCTTCTTGGGTTCTAGGTGAGATTAAGTCAGACAGTTACATGGCTTCTTAGAAGGCAATAGGTCCCGTGGGAAAAGGACAGCAAAGCAGGATAAAGGAATGAGGGGATTCTGGGTTGGGGGCAAGGAGCAGTAGTAACTGCAGTGCTCAAGGTAGGCCGCTCGGAGAAGACTGAGTTGTGTGGGCATCAGGGAACATGCACCCCAAACAAGGGAGACCGACCCTGTGTGTTGAGGAGCAGGAGAGGCCAGTGAGTTTGGGGCAGAGGAGTGAGGGGGAGAGTCAGGGAGGGCAGGCCATGAGCCCTGTTTGCAGCCATTGCATGGACTTGGTTGAATGAAGTAGGGACCCATGGATGGCTGGATCCCTCTGGCCGCCCTGTTGAGGAAAGACTGAGGAGCAATGGGAGACATGCTGACAAGCTGCTGCAGAAACCAGATGAAGGATGAGGCAGCTGGGGTCTGGGAGGAGCAACGGGAGACGGTGAGAAGAGGTGGGGTGCTGGATGAGGGGAGAGATGGCAGGATTTGCTGATGGTTTTTGTTTGGGATTTGGGAGAAAGAAGAGTCGAAGACGACTCCATGGTTTTTGGTCTGAGCTACTGGAAGGATGGGGTTGCCATTAACTTAGATCATGCATGTTGTTACAGCTACTGACCACCAACCCTGGGCCAGGTCCTGGGTCAACTATTTTGTACCCTGATTCCATTCAATTCTTACAACCCCAGGAGGTAGGAATTAGTCACCTAAGCCCAAAGTCGGCAATGAAATACCCATGACCACCCATCCTGTAGAGTTCAGATGACCCAGGCTGGTCTGACACCAAGAAGCAGATGTGTACATCCTGTTGTCAGGGCTCCACACACCAGTTGCCTCTCCTTGCTTGATTTTACCTACACTTCATTTCTTCTTTCCCTTACATAAAGTTGCCTTGAAGCTCTCAAGTTCCCAAGGCCTGGTGTTTTATATGTGCTGGGTCTTCTTCATTTGAGCTGGGCGCAGTGGTGCATGCCTATAATCCCAGCAACTTGGGAGACTGAGGCAGGAAGATTGCAAGTTCAAGGCCAGCCTCAACAACTTAGCAAGGGCCAGAGATGTAGCTCAGTGGCAGAGCCCCCCTGGGTTCAATCACCAATACTGAAGAAATGAACAGAAACTTCCTTATTTGGAAATCTGAAAACACATAGAGGGGTGTTCGGGACTAGGAAGTTTGGAGATTTCCTCAGAGGCATTGGGAAAATGTGTGAGCCATGAGTCAGGGGCAACAGGTGGGAGAGAGCACAGGGAGGCCTAGCAGCTGTCCCATGAAGAGACAGAGAAATGCAGATAGGAAGGATAGACCCATAAGAACAGAAAAGATTTCAGTGATCTAACATCAAGTGAGAAATATTCTGAACTCCTTTTCCCGGGGGGCCAGGGTACTGTGAATTGAACCCAGGGGCACTCATTGTCTCTCAGCTCCCCACCTGGAGCATCTCCCTTCTGCTCAGGCTCCCAGGTGCCACTGAGCTACATCCCTGGCCCTTTTTGTTTTTTATTTTAAGACAGGGTCTCACTAAGTTGCAGAGGCTGATCTTGAACTTGCAATCCTCCTGCTTCAGGCTCCCGAGTCCCTGGATTACAGGTGTGTGTCACCATTCCTGGTTCCCCCGACCTCATTTTACGGGTGACATCAAGAGAGACTCAGAGGTCTTCCCCTACTTGTGGATGCAGTACTCTGCCCATCTATCATCTGGCCCTTTGCCAAAGCCTTAGCACCAGGCTGCTGAGAACTGACTTAGCCATGAACCCAGGCTACGGGTTCCTGAATTGATCTCTGGGTTCCTAGTTAAGTTGTGTTGAGGAATTGGAGATACAGCCCTGCAGGGGGTCCTGGTTGTACCTTCAGCTGCCTGACTTCAGGGCTCTGGAGGCCCAAGGTCTTGGACATCTCCAGCACCCATAATTAAGGCCCCTCAGGACCCCCTTTTCTGTCCAGGCCCATGCGTCTGCATCAGTGGGCTTTCTCACCAGAGGTCCCACCCTCTCTGGAGCCTTCCAGCCAGGACTGGGGTATGGGGATACCTGCAGGGATGGCTGATGCCTTAGGATGGGAAGGGAAGGGAGTTTCATGACATATCTTCAGAACGTTTCTAACTTCCCTGTCCTTTTGCACAAGAAGCAGACAAGGACTGGGCATGTGGGCATGAAAAGGGCATTCCCCTCCTGTGGCTCCTACGGTTAACTGGGATGACATCTGTCCCCAGTGATATTCTTAGACCCATTCTTTCCCATCCCAGCCCTAAGCCCCTGCTCCCAAACACAGGGACCTGTCTCCCAGGGCTCACATTCAGCAAGAGGGACACTAGTTGTCTCTCAGCTCCCCACCTGGAGCGTTTCCCTTCTGCTCAGGCTCCCAGGTGCCACTCAGCATCTTAGCTCCTCCTATTGGAGAAGAAAACATTCTTGTTTAGCTGTTGAGACAGAGGCGTCACCCCTCCCAAGGACAGTTACCTGCAGGATGAAGCCACATCCAGACACTGCTTATCCTAAAGGAAGAAGCTGGCAGAAGGGATTTCCAGAGGGATCCTTTACACACAGCCGGCCCCTGACACTACCAACGCATCAGGGAGGGATGACATCCTGGGTTCAAGGCTTAAGGACCTCAGGAGGTCAATTCAGAGGTGCTGGGGGCCCTGAATTCCCAGCACTGATGACCAGGGCTGTGTCTGAGCCTGGGGATGGGAGTGGGATTGCTGAACTGGGGTCAGAGTTGGGTATCTGGTATGTGCCTGTCACACACCTTCCCTGCTAGCTGTCCTCAAAGCTGGATTATCCCTTTTCTACACTCCCTCTGGATGCAGAGTCTGCTGCAGAAAGCCAGGGAACTCACACATGCAGCAGGCCCTGGTGGAGGCCAGAGACAGAGCGCAGAGCGCAGAGCGGGGCGGGGCAGGCGCACAGACAGCCTCTGTTGGCCTGAGGAGAACAGTGTCCAAGGCAAACCCTGTTGTTTGCAAATAAACAACCTCAAGCTGGGGGAAAACAGCGCATCTTTGTTTGTCCTGATTGGTGCTGATGTGGCTTCTGCAGCCCCTCACCCAGCGAGGGTCCTTTTTTCCTTGTCCGCTGCAGGCTGAGGATAGGGAAGTAAGATGGAGCTGAAACCCAGGCCTGAGGTACCTGGTCTGTAGATGAGATGCAGTTCTGGCCTCCTGGCTTCTCAGAGAAGCCTCCCTCCCACCCAGAGGTCATGGGAAGCTGCGCTTAGGATCACAGGCACCATGCCCATCCCTGCTGGCCTGGGCCTCTGCCTCTAGCCCAGCACATGCGCAAAGGCTCAGCAACTAGCTGCAGCTTTGTGCCGTACAGAATCCTAGAGGGAAACTTGGTGTGTGGATAAAGAATCTGAGTCCAGAGAGGTTAGGTGACTTGCCTAATGTTACACAGCTGGCGGATGGCTGTACTGGCTCCCCGTGCTCTTGGAATAATCCTCCTCCTATGCTTTCTGGGTCCCTCCCAGACCCCAGCCCACCCAGGCGTGCTCTGGGCTGAGCTCTGTCTCCACACATGTGGTGCTTATCACGCAAGCATTGCCTTACAGGGTTTCGCAATGAGCCTTGTGTTGTGGACACCCCAATGGACTTGGAGCTACAGGAGAGCAGGGGTCTCCCTTGCTTTTCTCAAACTGCTGCCTAGGGGACCACCTCATTCATTTCTGGAGTCAGGGCCCAGCACATCCCAGCTCAATGAGAGAGGAGAGGCACGAAAAAGGCTCAAGGAGAAAAAAAAAATCAGGACAGAAAGCTGAGGACAGAGGCGGGGAGATGTTTGTAGGCTCCAGCTTAGAAATGGGACTTGTAAAACAGGGAGGTGGCCAAAGTCATTCAGATTGGTCTTGGAGCAGGCCCTGCTCACAGAGCCAACTGAAGTACTCAGAACTGAAGGCCAGAGATGTCTCCCCAGAGGCTGAAGGAGGAAGACCCAGGTTAGAGCCTGGCAGGGACATACCAGGAAAAGGATGTCTTGAGCTGCTAGAGGGTGTCCCAGAGAGGTTTGCTGGTCCCGGGGGAGTAGGCGGCTGGGACTTTTCTGGGAGGCCCTCCTTCTAGGATTAATTCAGTCCTCTTCTCCATTCAGCTGGTTAATCAGCGCGCCTTTCCATGTGCCCAGGGTGATGTGAGGAACCTGGAGGAGAGGCAGACACCAGATGCATGAGCCACGTCTACCACCAAAGGACCTGTAAAATAATAGGAGAGAGAAAACAAGCACACAGAAGGCAGACGATAGCTAAGAATGGTTAGGCAGCCAGCCATGGGTGACAGGCCAAGGGTGTGGGGGGTCTCGCCCATTGGGCCTAAGCATCAGGGATTAGGCTTTTTATTTCCTGTCTTTCCAGCAGCCATCTCTCTCCACTCCACACAGAACATCTCTCCACTTCATGCAGAATAAGGATCACAGCCAGCAGGAGTGGCGAGGGAATAACTCCCAGTAAATCAGGGACTCTGTGAAGCCTTGGCAGCATCTCAACTCCAGTCCTGAATTTATAGGTCTCAGGGCGCTCACACTGCAGGTCAGCAACCCCAGGACACCTACAACATCATATTTTTACTGATGGACAGACCCATTCTCAGCCTGAGGAGCTGCCAGCACACATCATTTTTGCAAAAGGTGGCACATGGCAGGAAAAAAAACCGAGAACAACTTGGGAAGTGTGAACAGCCTCTCGCAGAAGGAAGGGAAAGGATTCGAGCTGCCCAGAGTAGATTATTTGGTTCCCACTTCTGAGCATTCACACCTTCCCATAGCTGGAACTTCCCCACCTCTTCTTGCCTCATAAGCCCCACCCCTATTTTGAAACTGGCTTCTTGGGAGCCAGTCTCTAGGTCTCACCTTCTAACTAAGCCCAGTCACCCCTGCCCCTTTCCAAAGGATATTCAGGCCCTGAAGCCAAAGGTTGGTCTACATGGTCCAGCTTCTGACACTGGTCTTTCTTGTGTACAAACAAGTTTTCACTCTGCAAACTTTTGAGTGCTTGCTCCAGGCTCATTTCTGACAGCAGCAGGAGACCAAGTGGCGTTTGCCAGGCCTTGATGCTGGAACCCACAGTCTCATTAGGGAGAGAAAACATGTCTGTCAGATTGAATTAACTCCTCCAGGTAGTCATGGATCCATGTTCAAAGAGTATATTTGCTTTATTCCTTTTATTTGTCTTTTTGTTTGTAGCAGCTCTCGTCATAATGTCTAAAAACTAGAAACAAGTAAATGTCCCTCAAAAGTCATTATCAGGGGGCTGGGGTTGTGGCTTAGAGGTAGAGCACTTGCCTAGCACATGTGAGGCACTGGGTTCAATCCTCAGCACCATATAAAAATAAATAAATAAAATAAAGGTATTGTGTCCATCTAAGTATGTGTGTGTGGTGCTGGGGATTGAACCCAGGGCTTTGTGCATATGAGGCAAGCACTCTACCAACTGAGCTCTATCCCCAGCCCTAAAAATATTGTTTAAAAAAGTCATTATCTGTAAATGTTTCAGAGGAGGATAAAGCTTTCTTCCTTAAAAACAAATTGCACTGTGTTTATTTAAGTTATATAATGTCATAAAATACGTACATAGAAAAATAGAATGAATCAATACATCCATCATCTCACAAAGTTACTCATCACCCCCTCTCAGGACAAGAGCAGCTACGCCTACTTAGTTAGCAAAACTCCTGAATACAGTACACTATTATTAACCAAAAACTTCTGAGGACTGCATGGTACCCCAGCTTCCAAAAAAAATCTGAACCTAGGAAGAATTTGAACAGGTGGAGAAAAAGGGAATTTCAGAAAGAGAAAATTGCTTCAGTCGAAGGTGGAAGGCTAAGAGGTTTAGGCCAATATATGGTGTGCTTGACCTCTTTGGTGTCTCTTGCCTGTGGCCGACATTGTTGATTGTGGCACCATGCCCACTGGTGCAGGATGCAGGTTCCTCAATGCAGCCATCACAAATCAATTAAAGCTGGTGGGCAGGAATGAGTCCATTGGCCCTTCTGGTCTACAGCATTCAGAAGGCAGAAGAAAATGGATTGGGCTGGAGAAGATGTGTGCCATGGAGGAGAGGAAAGCCCAGCTCACAGTCTCATTTGTCAGATGGCAGAGCTGGGACGGACCATAGAATCTAGGCTCTTCATTTTCACTGAAGGAGTCTAAGGCTAGGGATGAAAGTTCTTGCTCAAGGTCAGTGAGAGCTGTTGGCACAGGTGTTGGAATTCACACCTCCTGACCCCTGGGGCAGTGGGTTGGGGCCAGATGTTCAGAAGCTGCTGTTTGATCTGGGGTTGGCCACACCGGAGCCAAGGCACGCGTAAAGATCTTCTGAGATCTCTGCATTCACTCTGTACTCCAGAATCTTCTCTATCCTCCTTATCCAAGCTTCCATTCCTGTGTACTGGAAGCTGACAGGGTGATGGATGGGGCTATTAGGGAGGGAGGCACACCCAGGTTCAGTGGGGACTGGGGCAGAGAAACCATTGACTCTCTCCCACCTCCTTCCTCCTGAAGGAAGGCAGTCTCCCCACCGACCCCATCCCACCCCACCCCACCCCACCCTGCCCCCCACATGCACACCCAGGACCTGCCCTGAGAGAGTAAAACACCAGCCGAGGATCCCCTCTTCCCTAGCTTCTAGGCCACAGGGAGCCACCAGAGGTTTTTGAGCACGAGAGTGTTATGACCAAAGTGATATTTATAAAATATTATTTTGAAAGATTAATATGTCCTGTGTTCTTTGGGGAGGAAATACCTCCCATTAGGACATACCTGAATGAGTCTAAAGCTGGGGAGAGGGGTCCCTCAAGCCTGAGGGCTCCATTAGAGATGGGGGGGGCACCACTTGGAGAGGGTCTCCATAGCTGAATGGGAGTAGACAGGAGAAGGAGGTCTTACCCCCAAGCAAATCCATGGAGTCAAATGCCCCGAGGCTGCCAGGAGGGGTCAGGGACAGAAATTAGGGAATCACAGATAGCTGGGAGACGTTTGGATGGTTGTCAGCCCTCCCAACTCCCCTTCTGAGGTAGGTTTGATGCTTGTTTTGCTGTTTGTTTCCCTGAAGGAGATGTGAGTAAAGCTTGTGACAGGCTTGTCCTGGGTGGTGGAAGGAAGTGGACGACTGGGGAGATGGTGGCCCTTTCTGCAGGCAGGTTCCGGGGATCAGAGCAGAGGGAAGCAGGAGGCAGACTCTAGGAAGAAGAGGTGGATAGCAAGATGGGTACAGAGACGGACATAGGAACCTTCTCGGGTTAAATCGGTCATCTAGGAAGCCCTCCTGGTCTAAGAAAGGGAAGAGCTAGTGGGAGAAGTGGTGGACACATCCATCATGCCAAATATGCCCCATAATGGGGACCACACCCCTGCCTTCCTCAGTACGTAGTTCCAGTTTTGGAGACTTTGCATATAAGTCATGACCTTGCTTGCATGGAATTGACTTTCTCCCTCCTCCAGAAACAGTTCTCCCACTTGTAGAAATGGCCAGGGAGGGGCAAGATTCTCCCTGCTCATGGAAGGCCCATCAGAGTGGAGGCAGAAAGAGCTGGAACCAAAGAGATGAGCTAATGTTCCTCTTCAGAAGCCATCAATGACGTCCTGTTTTCCAACCCCAGGAGCCACTTCTCAGAGCCTCCCCTTTCTGGGGCAGCTGACTGTTGCTCAACCTTTGTTTCTTTGAAGGCTACTCCCTGGGTTTCCGGCCTTTGCACCTTCATAGTTTTCACTCTGTGGCTCTAGTTCCTCTTTGTTCACTTCTTGTTGAGCTTAATTTTCTTATGTCCCTTCCACCAGGTTCCCCCCCCACTAAATTCTCCTTGGTCACCTCTCTTTGGACATCCCCATACTCTCCCTGGGGTGGCTCACCATTCACACACTGTGGTGGTCACTTGCGTATGGTGACTTCCCAATTTATTCCTTCAACCCTGATCATTCCTTCCCTTCTAGGACCTCCTTTGCAACAACCTGATGGACAGTTGTCCTAGACACCTTCCCCAACCCCCAAACTCAACACATCCATTGTCAAGGTGTCTTCATGGGACTTGGGAGAGCCAGGCTAGACTTCAGCAGCTGGGCCTGGAGACAAAGCTGCCCGGGTTGCTGAATCCTCACTAGCATCAGTTCCACCATCATCCTGTTGGAGGCTGCCAGCCCTCTTTGTGTCTGATTGCTTGGCCTTTGTTCTCCCCTGGGGACATGCAGGGTTCAGATAACTTTGACAAGGGGTAGAGTAGAGTTAGTGGTGTTGAACCTGGAGGATGAAGACACCCCACTTGGGATTCATGATGGTGGGTAAATTCTAAGTCCATCTGGAAACCATTCCTACTCTGAGAAACACTCTTTGCTGAAAGTTCATAGGAAGAGAAGAGGGATCCCCCAAAACTGAGTGGGGAGAGAGGCCATTCTCATTCATCTCTGAAATATGAATTGAGCTCCTCCTCCTCTGTGCCAGGGATTGTGTAGGGGCTCAGGATGCAATGGAGAAGACAGACAGGTCCTGCTGTCATGGAGTTCACAGGCTCACAGAAAATGAGTGTGAAGACACCTCAACAATGAAGTACAGGAGAGAGGGGGTATGAAGGATGGCGGGTGAGACCTAAAGCATTAACTCGAATGGAGAGGAAAGAAGAAGATTGTGCCGAGGAGAAGACCCAAAGCAAGAGCAGGCTAGGTACTTTTGAGGAACTGGAGGAAACATCATGGCATACCGTAATTTGAGAGGGGAAGAGAGTAGCCCATCAACAGGAAGGAGGGGTGAGGGAAGGCTGCACCATGCAGGGCATTGGTTTCCAGGTAAGAATTCTGGATTCTAGAATGGAAATCAGTAAGAACCATGAAAAAAAATATGAATTTAAATAAATCATCTGTCTGTTATGTGGCAATCACATTCTAAGGATCAGCAAGGACACTATGGCAGGTAAAAGATGGGGATGACCTTGACAAAATAATGCCTATTTCTGGAAAGAACTGGTTAGATTTTAGGGATATTTAGGAGGATTCGAGAACTAAAGAAGAACAGGGAAGTCATGGGCAACATGGCTGTTGTTCATTTGGATAACCCAGTAGATGGTTGAGATTGTCCTGTGGAAAGTTCAGTTGTGGATATATTGAGTGGAGCTTTCTGTGAAGCCTCAAATAAAGACGTCAAGTCATGTAGGGCTGCCAGGTTAAATAAGGAAGTCCAGTTCAGTTTTCATTTCAGATAAACAACAAATAAAATTTTAGTATAAATCTGTCCTAAATATTACATGGGGCACATTCATTTAAAAATAACTCATTGTTTATCTGAAATTAAAATTTAACTAGGCATCGTGTTATCGGCCAAATCTGATAACTCTGCAGGTAACTGAATACATGGAGAGAGTCCAGACAGAGGTGGACATGCCACAACCATCAGCATGGAGCATGGAGCAGCGCCTGAACTATAGAAAGTGCAGGAGACAAGACCTAAGACAACGTCTTATGAACTCTGGTATTTAGGGTTTGAGGAAGGAAGAAAAGCAGGAAAGTGACACACAAGCTAAGGGTGGTTGAAAGAAATGAAAAAATCATGCATGCAATGTCTAAGAGGGTTCACTGAACGTACAGGGAAGGTCATTGGTGGTCTTGGTGACAGCAGTTTATTGTTGAAGGAAAAGCAAACCACAGTGAGGTGAGGAGCCAATAAGAGGAGTTAATTG